TGCCCACTACGAAGCTGCCACGACGCAAGGACGGCATTCAAACGGGCAGAAACATAGAAGGAAGAAAACTTCCCACAGGCAAAAAAAAATAAAATTCTGGCCCTACCGGATGCCCCTTCAGGGCCAAAAAAAATATGCTCGTCCCTGGGTGAGTCGAAACGCCCTGGACAACCAAAAATTTTTTTGGCCGTTGGCCAAGGGGTCTGGAATCTGGACCGGGATCCGGACACCGGACACCGGACGGTCCGGATCCCTGTCCGGAGGTCCGGATCGCTGCCATGATATGGAGCCAAGGATCCGCAAAGTGACGAAAAGGACTCGAATGGACAATGCAGCGTCAGCAAAGCATCAACAAGCAATGTACATCCAGATACATGCGAAAATAGCATAATGTAGCGCAACAGAAGACTCAAAGATATGACCTGACCTGTCAGATACTGACGCGACACCCCATCATACACCACACATGTGAGAGGGAGGGGAGGGACCGCATACATAGAAGAAAGGTCCCTCCTTGAGCACGCACATGGGGAGATACCACGGATGAGGAGATGGGTGAGCGGCGAGACGAAGATGGAGATCAGGGAGAAGACCAAGATCGCGATAGCGAAGTCCAAAAATAGTATCCCTGCCGAATGTCCAATCAATGTCTGCCACAGGAATGTCGAACCACATCTCTCTCCCTCTACCTACACCTCGACCTCTAACGCAGCGCTGTGTTGCGCTGCTCCAGCAGCGTGTCGCCCAAGAAGTGAGCTACTCGAACTGTCCCCGGCCTGGTCTGGCCCAGCTATAAGTAGCGCTGGGCCTCGCTGGGGCGCCTCTGGTCCTTGGCCTGAAACGCCCTGCCTGGGTCCCTACCGGACATCCAGGCCCTCCCTGTTGATGCAGCAGGGAGCGTCCGCTACTGGACGAATACGAACCTGGCCCGAAAGGGCCTGACTGCAAATGAAGAAGGCCCAAAACGTGGCCTTTGTCCGAGCAGACCAAAAGTCTGTTCGGGCGAACTGTATGAACAGACAAAAATAGGACAGCAAATAAATAAATAAATAAATGAATGCTGGCTCAACTCAAATCCTGCGGCCCTAAGGCCAGCCATGGGCCTCCAGGGCGCATGCCTGAATGGCGTGCGGCCTGGGGGGCCCCAGCAACGTCGGGCCCCCAAAACGGGCCCATGTGCAGGCTCAGCATGTAACACCATACTTGCGGCACAGATGCGCTGTGCAGAGCAGTGTGGTGCAAGACTTGCCAAATACACGCAGAGCAGTGCAAGAGTGCCATATGCAATCACCGTGAAAGGGGATGGAGTGCGGAGGTAGGGGGGGAAGTGTGTGTGTATGTATGAAACAAAACAAAAACAAAAAAAACTAACGATGATGCTCACAAACAGAAATGGCCAGAATTTGAAAAATGAAAACAAAACAAGGAAAAACAAACAATGCCCTAACAACGCCCTGGTGTATGGCTTGAATGCTCGACGCACACACACACACACACACACACACACACACACACACACACACACACACACCCCTATTGGGCCAACATTGAGTGTGGCCGCGAACCTGTTTGTTTGTTTGAGCACACATTTTTTTGGGGGGCAAAATAGGCTACACCTTGCCCCAGCTCCCCCTATTTTCGTGGGGTGGGCGCACACGCGTGTGTGCGGTGTATACAACTTGGAAATTAGATTCTTTACTATTCTCGAAATGCAAAGCGAGATTTAAAAGAGATACTTTTCATTTTATTATAAAACAACAAATCCTTTATCGAACAGATAAAGAATTTGAATCCCAGTGCCAATTGGATGGTTCTAACACTAGAGGCTACCCCTTTAAAAATAATTGGGAAAAAAAAAAGGCCACCATATCCACAAGCAATTTCCTGATGACTTAAATGACATCTATTCCCAATGGCATCATCACCTTCAAGTACTACATACAAAACAGTGTCTGCAGTGCTAATCAACTCCTTGTGTGACCATATCACCCATAGCCCCTACCTGCCCTTTACGGTTGCCAACATTTGCTTGTTTGCTTCTCAGGAGCTAAGCAACACCAAACCAATGGTCCGTCCACACATCGACCAAGTCTACAATCAGCTGAACCTGGACTCATGTTTAACTGGTCCAGATGTAAAGGAGGTTCACTAAGTACCCTTCGTTGAACCAGATCGACAGCTTTCCAAAGCACAAGGAAACTTTTTGTTGGATCAGATCGACCGATTTCCAAAATACAAGGGAATGGCTTTGAAATTTGAATCTGTTGATTGAACTTGGAGTGAACCGGGCTGCTGCTACAGGTACTTAACAAAGCAACAGATGCAAACAAAGACAAGTTTCATACAGTTTATGAGCTGATGAGTATATATGTGCAGCGTATAAATAAAAGGTGGCGATATTGCTCTGCCCATTTCGTACGATATCCGATGGCAGGTGAACCAAAAACAGAAACAACATGCAAATTCTGCCAACTTGCCAAATTCTCTACTATCACAACACCATCGAAGATCGTGGTGTCCTTGCATTTCTGAATCCGCCTCGAGCACATAACTGTGGTGGACAATGTGACGAGGAAAGTTTTAGAGGACAGAAAAGTGGTAAAGACAGGGAATAGGGACCTCATCATCCCTTCGGAAATCTGCAAAGCAAGGTGATAACAACAAGAACTGGGTCGTCATCCTTCATGACTTGTGCTGTAAATGGCTTCCAAAGCAGCCCAAACACACAGCAAAAATAAAATTAAAGAAAAAAGAAAACAGGAGCATCTTTGAAACAGTCAAAGTGAAAAGATATTTAACCGGACTTTTGCCCCCCAGAATAGAAGGGGCTTTGTGTTGGAAACCAAACCAAACCAAAAAAAAAAAGAAAAAAAAGAACAAGAAAGTGAAAAAACATTTTTCAAAACTCACCCGTTTCTTCTCAGCTTCCTCTCTCTCCCTAGCAAGCTGTATTTGCCTGGCGTTGAAAACAAAGATCGGTCATCACGACCAGTAAGTTCCATGCATGCACCAAGGGATGCCAATGTCAGTGATATTGCTCTGCACTGGCTCATGTTTAGGATGACATCCAGCATCTGTACGTCAGACTACAGACAGCAATAACGTTCCTGCCAAAGTGGCAAGGGAATTCCATTCACTGGAATAAGTACGTACTTCACAGGGTTTGTTCGGCCGGCAGCCATGGTGCTGCTCCACCAAGAGGGTTAACTTACCTGGTGGGCGCTGCATCAAGAAGGCCCCTGACGGGGTTTTGGCTGGACCTGCCTGGTTCATCCTTGAGGCAGGCATGGGGGTAGGAAGGTGGGAGAGACATGGTAGTCGTTGAATTGCCCTTTGAACATCCCTTGCTGAAGGGGATTCTCTGCCATAGCCTGTAGCTCACCTAAGTTGAGAAAAGAGAGAGGGGAGGGCTGAAAAAAAAGCGGATCTTTCTGGCATCGGTTCTTGTTCACTCTTTCATTCATTGTTGTCATAATTAATACTCCTTGGGGCATCCAACTTCCCTGGCCGCAATTTCATCAATTTTTTAACCGAAATCTCCATAATTAAATCTCCATAATTAAATCTCCATAATTAATACTCCTTTAGGCATCTAACTTCCAGGCATCGAAGACGTTCCTGGCCGCAATTTCATCATTTTTTTAACCCAAATCACCAGGGCTTACCGGGCTCCCGCCTGCAGAACATGATAATTTTGGTTCAATAAACGCCAAAATTTCTGCCAGAAACGTCAAAGCTAAATGCCCAAAGGGGTAATAAATGTGAGGGATGATGATGGAGGTGGAGAGGAGGCGGAGGAGGAGGAGGAATTGATCTATGCACACCCACTTGACAGTCGCATTCAATGCTGTGATTGAGAGAAACGGCAGGAATGAGGGTAACTGGTCATCAATCCTCCCTCGATGGAGCAATCAACACTGGTCAGGGCTCCTTCGGCCTACATAGACGGAAGGAACCATTAGCGGGTTATATGATGTGTCTCCTTTTCTCAATTTGCTGGTGGGCAGGAAGCAGACTGACACTCGTGGACAAGAAGCCAGAGGAGGACCATAAAGACCTGTTTTAATAATAATAATAATAATAAAAACTGCAGGAAAACAATGTAAAATTGACAAGTAGGTTGAAGTAACAAACGGGATTGCCCCGTGAGGAATTTCCCCCTCTGCTCGACTCTTCTTTATCCTCTTGTTCTTGGATGAAATCCTGTGGATATGATTCCTCATTGTCCTCAACGACTTGTATACGCCTCAAATGACTTGTATATGAAATGCATACAGCCATTCCGCAAAGTCGGAAACGGTTTCAATTTTTTATTCCCTTTAATTTTTGGTGGGTTGTAAATTGTAATCGACCCAACTCTGGAAGCTCAAATCAAGACCATCATGCAAACTACATCCGAGGTTCAATGAATGACACTAGGGGGTAGATAGAGATGTAATCAAAGCAACAAGACAGAAGAAGTAGACGAGCAAGAGGTTTCCCTTCTTCAACCTCCAGGCTCCTCTCCTTTCACTTGAAACGGTTTTCACCTTTTTGCAGACACAGATGCGGATCCCAGGGCTCGATCCACAGACCTCACCTTACCTTACCTGTGTACAGTATCAAGTCGACCCTGCCAGTCTTGAACCCGTGACCTGTGTGTTAGTAGTTGAAAGTTGTCTGTCGTAGGTCTGAGTAGTTGTCGGGTCTTGAACCTTAGACCTGTCAAAGTAGGGGTCATACCTGCATAGGGGTCATAGTTCTTGAAGTCCTGAAAGGTCAAGGTCATACGAGCTGCTACAGTCCTGAAAGGCCAAGTCTGCAAACTTCCGGAAGGTCCGGAAGTGGCCTTTCAAATTCTTCTCACGTTATACACAGCAGGCCAGAGGCAAGTGGGCAAGTGGTGAGTCCAACGTCGCTTAGTCAGCGGTACCCAGTCCCAGTCTCACTTTGCACAGTCAGCAAGTACCATGAGGGACTGTGTGCACCATGGGCCCGGTGGAAAAGGGCNAGTTGAAAGTTGTCTGTCGTAGGTCTGAGTAGTTGTCGGGTCTTGAACCTTAGACCTGTCAAAGTAGGGGTCATACCTGCATAGGGGTCATAGTTGTTGAAGTTCTGAATGGTCAAGGTCGTAGCTGCTACAGTCCTGAAAGGTCAAGGTCGTAGCTGCTACAGTCCTGAAAGGCCAAGTCCGCAAACTTCCGGAAGGTCCAGAAGTGGCCTTTCAAATTTCTTCTCACGTTATACACAGCAGGCCAGAGGCAAGTGGGCAAGTGGTGAGTCCAAGTCTCACCTTGCACAGTCAGCAAGTACCATGAGGGACTGTGTGCACCATGGGCCCGGTGGAAAAGGGCAGACCAACGACCTACAGAAGTATAAATCAAGAGGCAGCGTCCAGCCATTCATTCATTCTGCTGTGCGCCATGCGGAAGCACTGCCCGAGCGTCTTGTGCGAGGTAGTCTGCAGATGCCCGAGGTCGAAGTGGGCTTGAAGAAGTCAGTGCGCCATAGTTAGTAGTAGCCGGCGGCCATAGCCGCCATAGCTAGTGTTAGGTGTTAGTGTGTGTGTACGTGTGTGTAATACAGTGAACGCGTGTGGGGTATTCAGGGTGATCCGGAGTTGAGTATGTGCGAACAGTGGTGTTGGACACAGTGACGAGAGTTGGGATGTACTGGCGCTGATGCGCCATAGCCTGTTGAAGCAAGTTTGCATCTGAAGTGTGTTCTTGGTTTCCATATCTCTGAGCTTTGAGTGGGCGCTTGGCGCCAGTGTGCTTTGCCATCTGTTGCATGCAAGAAGTTGAAGAAGAAAGCGGGTCTGATTGCGCACTCGCCAACTAAGCAAGTCATCATCCTAACGCCTACTCTCTCAACACCTCCGCAAGGCACAGTCCCTTTCCCAGCTTGATCTCTCACTTCCAATCACTCCCATATCCGGGCGCTAAGAAGAACAACACCGGGTATATGGCAATACCTGCCTTCAGTAGCGAAGAGCTGACTCCTCATCACAGGCAGCACCAGCAGGTAAATCCAGGCAAGCTTCTCTCTCTCTCTCTCTCTCTCTCTCTCTCTCTCTCTCTCTCTCTCTCTCTCTCTCTCTCTCTCTCACACACACACACACACACACACACACACACACACACACACACATACACACACACAGTTCTCAGGCTATGGTCTCTCTCTCTTGAACCCCTCCCTCTCAACTCTAAGCTATGGTGCTTGAGCACCTCCTACTTCTTCTAGCTATGGCTACCACCGTCACTCTCGCTCTGTCTCTCCATCAGCCTGCCTTTCCTCCAGCACTAGTGCAAAGCAGCACTGCAGTGAGCGCAAGGCAGAATGAATAACCAAGTTGTGCCAGGCCCTCCCTTCATAGCATTGACTTGGTCTGGCCTGACATTCTCTAATGGCTGACATTCTCTCGTATTTTTTTGTGCGTCCAAGATCTTGTTGCTGCCTTAGCGTGCTTTCATTAGTGTAAGGTTTGATATCCTGGCTCCTTTGGATTCTGGGAAACATCAGTCCGGTTCGTTTTCCACCAGCAAATCAGAAAATACAAAATCACACAACGCGTTCTCAGGCATACATTCTTTATGTGGAGTAAGTTGATTCTGGGTGAGGTAAGTAGATGTGTCAGGGTAGAAATGTTCTTCTTAACTTTTTTTTAAGAGTGTACACATCACATGAATCTATTAGCCGAGCAAAATTCCATGACAGAACCAATGATCCACTGCAGACAACTCTCTCTTTCGTCTCACAGTCAGGCAGGCGTTGACCATTACGCTCTACAGCTGCACAAAGCGCTACGGTAGCTTGAGCCTACCTTCACGCACCTCCGTTACTCTTTAGGCAATTGTGTTCGTAACCGACAAATTTAGGCAAATACAAGATCTACGTGACCAAATTTTCCAACTCTGGCGAGCCACACGTGAATGCTCTTTCGACAGACAAACATCTTGGAGATAGACAAACAGGTAAGACTGCTATAGCTCTTGGTACTATATTGAATCAGAAGCAGATCAATGCAAAAGGTGCCTCTGACAAAGCAAAGCTGTATTGTCAGAGGCACCAGTGGTTAACAGGGACCCCCACTTTTTAGCCCCAGGTTAACACCCCCCCAGCACTGAGAAGTGCAAAAGAGCGAATGTCTCATGAAAACACACTTTCGCCTTGGGGTCTTAGGACCCTTCAGTCCTTTTTTTTCCTTTGTTTCTTTTTTTCTTTTTTTTTTGCTGTTGGTTTATTTGGTGTCCACTCTATGAACTGGTGACGAGCCTGGCTTAAAAGGTGCAGTAGGTTTGCCATAAAGACCATGTAAAACCCCTGAAAATTTTTGGCCTCCATTAACCTTCTCTCTCCAGAGGGGTCCAAAGTTCCCACCATATCAGAAATTTCAGAATCACCACTCCTGAGAGAGTTGGCCACAAAAACGACCCTTTATCAACCCTCCAGGCCCTGCACCATACATATTCTTTCTTCATATTCTTGTTACTTTCATGCTTGCCGGTGACGAGTAACCGGACTGGTTCCCTCCCAGAATATAAAGAGGGTTGTCTCTTTTAGAAGAAAAAAAAAAGGAAAAAAAAAACACACACACACAAACAAACAAACAATAACACCAACAATGAGGAGCACCTATTATGCAAGCTAATACAAACAAAACCTCAGTAGGATAAGCATGAATATAATCTCCTTCATACCATCCCACCCACATCAGGCTCATAGAGCCCTGGGTCATAACCATACAAATTTCCAGAAACAACAAAGCGGTTCCTTTAGTTTAAAACTGGTGGAGGATGCGCTTAAGGAACAGAAACAGACACTCTTCAAAGTTCAAACAGCTATACAGTATTTCATGGTTTCCTGGATTTACCGAAAGCAAAAGGGAATACCCGTGCTCCAGTAAGAGGTCACGATCTCTTTTGCACAAAGAGAGAAAGAAGGCCACACATTTTCCGTGATGCCTCTAACATCAGACATCTATGGGAAAGAAAATCCCGGTGGCCCTGGGCCGAGACAGCGTTTTTTTTTCTGTTTCCGATATACTGGTGGTTTAAAACACCAGTGCTTGGCCCAGGTATCTGCCGTGGAAAAAAATAGAGTAGAAACGTTTCCTAAAATCATGGCTTGTTCACGGGCACGACTTTAGGAAGTACTGGTGGTTTAAGAGGTCTTCCACACCGGAATTGGGTTGAATGGCGGAAAGGGGTCCATAGTGTGGCCATTGCTGGATGCCGCATTAACGCCTTCACCCAAATACAACACACCCTCATCATGATTGAATCGACCAAAAATATAACTTTTATACATTATTGATCAGGATGTGTTGTGCTCAGGGGAAGACGGTAATCGTGGACACTGAGGCCACCATTGCCTTGAAGCACCGGCTCGATGTTCATGGGTTCTGTGAGGAGTCAAAGCCTCAAACTCTTATTGTTCTTTTTTTAAATAATTTTTGAAAAAAAGCAAGAAAGACATAAGAGAAAAAGCAGGTGGAAAGTGCTTTGTAACATTACTTGAGTACTTGGGCAGTAGCCACTTTGGCCATGCCATAGGGGTAAAGGTAATTCCGGAAGTATCCAGGCTTGACTGTGACAAGATCTCCTTCTTTTCCCAGTTTGTCCATGCTCTTCGTCAAAATAATCTGGACATGGCCAAGCACACATCAACGCCAACCAGTTATTGTTAGCCCTTCATTGCTTGCATCAAGCCTGCAAGGAACCTGGGACAGGTGACCCGAGGTAACAACAACGCCGGTGACCATTGCAGCACAGCAACTATGGACTCGTTACATTCGTAGTCATACGAAAAGACAATCTGCTGCTGACTTTTGCTCACATACTTTGCCCCATAGCCAAATTGCAAAAAAGTTGAAAAAAACGACGGAAGCATATACCGGTAGCCATCCCTACAGGCAAAAAAAATGGGCAGCGAGGAAGTAAAAACCATCCGCAGAATGACCAATCAAGTCGCTGACCCGGTGCATAACCTCACAACTGCTAGATCCAATTTGCCCAACAGGAGAACAATCAGCTGTGCTGTGTACTGAAAGCGCGCATGAGAGGTTCCGAATCGTTCCCTGTGTCACGACATCATCCTAACAGGAGGAGGTATCAGCAGAAGGGTTGGGGAAGTTAACAATGTTACAAACACACCTCCACCCCGCAAGGAAAACGATCTCCGACTTAAACAAGGGCCCAACAAGAGTACAAATACAAATTGAAACATGTACAACTGGCCACAGAGAGTCCAACAACCTGGCACATATGCAGAGGTCCAAGGAGACGTCAACTGTCAGACAGCCAATCATGTAGTCAGTAGCTAAAAAGTTGTGCAAACAGGGCAATCTGGTGTGGAAAACACAAACAACAAGTGATCAACAGAGAGAAGCCTCGACAAACATGACTGCCTAGGAGTTTGGTCCTGTCGCACACGCAAGCAAACTATTACATCGATAGGCTACTGCAAAGGCATAGCAGTTTGGGCCATCAAATGAGAATACAAACAGAACCCATACAAAGAACCACCAGAGGGGGAAAGTGGCCAGGAGCAAGGTACACAACTCACTTCTTTATCATATTCCTCGTTACCATCCTGTACTTTGCTCTATCTCCTTTGTCTCCTTCTCATCTTCCCCATCATCTTCCTGCTCTTTGTCCTTCAACTATGCCTTCTCTTCCCGCTCGTCATATTCCTCGTTACCATCCTGTACTTTCCTCTATCTCCTTTGTCTCCTTCTCGTCTTCCCCACCATCTTCCTGCTCTTTGTCCTTCAACTATGCCTTCTCTTCCGCTCGTCACCGTGCTGTGGCCCCTTTCCTCTGCCACGATCTGCTCTCCCCTCACTACCCTTCCCCATCCGTCAATCCCTCTCACACACATTCTCACCCATATGCGCAAATGCTTCCTCACACGCAAAGTAAGCCATACGCAGGCTTGTCCATGTACAGTTCTCAATCTGTGAGATGTACCACCCTCTCCGTTGTGCAAGCACAACACTGATTTCAGCTTTCTGTACAATATGGGGGATAAAGATACTATTAAGAACTATAGGCCTATCATTCTCTTTGTAGCTTACAATGCCGCTGGTACCTTGCCAATATATTAGCAAAAGACGCAAGGGGTAGTGGAGCGGATAATCCACCCATATCAGACAGGATTCATGCAAAACATGAACATACAAAGTTACAAACCAATATCCTGTGTCCTTCGGGACATCAGTTAAAATCGGGGCCGGGGGGCCCGGGGGGGGGAAGGAGAACCTCGGTGAATGAAGTTTTGAAAATATTCATGCAGTTTAAATACGACATGACAACTGTCTTCATTAACTTTGGGTAGAAGAGAGGAGGGGGGGGGGGGGGAAAGTGTACTGTCCTTTCCTAAACAGGAGTATAATCCAATTTAACCAACTTGTATCATCAAGTGAGGACCATTCTTCAGATTAAGGAACCTAAAAATACAAAAACCCATTACATTATTATACAGATATAAATAGCACAAGAGACCCTGGCAGCCCCTTACCTCTATATAACAGTAATAATGAAAGTCTGGCAGCAAATCTCATAGCAAAAGAACTTCCCTCAGAAAATAACGCTTGTAAGTCCATATGCTTGTTGTTCATGATACGTCAATCCTCAATAAAATAAGGTCAAGATGATGTACTCGATACGTGAAACCGAAGTAAAGAAAAAAAGAAAAAAGGATAATTAAAAGCCTAATGCACTCGTCCTTGTATAGAGTCTATACAAATATAAATCTACCAACCGCACACAACACCTTGCCTCGCAGTGTACAGAATAAATCAGCAAGGTTGTCATTAACAGCCATTTTGCAAAGGGATGGAGAAGGGGAAACCGGGGTGCTAGACATCATCACTGCTCCTTTTGCACTTCCTTCTTGCTACAACCGGTGGAAGGTTTGGTGTGCAAGGATGAGAAAGGGTAATGCAGGGATGTTAGACACACCTTGCCTCGCAGTGTACAGAATAAATCAGCAAGGTTGTCATTAACAGCCATTTTGCAAAGGGATGGGGAAGGGGGAACCGGGGTGCTAGACATAGTCGCTGCTCCTTTTGCACTTCCTTCTTGCTACGACCGGCGGAAGGTTTGGTGTGCAAGGATGAGAAAGGGCAATGCATGGATGTTAGACATACTTGCTGCTTCTTTTGCACTTTCTTCTGTGCTACTATCAGAGGAAGGCCTGGTGTGGAGCGCCCAGAAGAAACAGCAGCAGCAGGAACTTCAAAACAGTGATCCACTCGCTTTTCAATTCAACGAAACCACATCATCACCAGATGACAAAACAAAAACAACAGACAGGAGCAGGAAAACAACAAGTTTCGATCGTCAGAAATCCCATACTTGAAGAGTTGATGTGGCTCCTTCACAGAAGCTTCTGCATGTGTTGTACTACCAAACGACTCAGTCATTCGTATTCGGCAAAGTAACCGAGTCCAAGGAATTGTATTTGTATGGTCACCATTTGGTCGGGGTACATGACTGATCTGAACCCACCAAAACTTTCGACTTCAAGAAAATGCAGCCAGATGTGACTTTGTGAAGCCAAATCTCTAGTCTTACAAATACTATCCTCACCGGTCTGACATCATAACTTCACACTTGCACCCACACCCACACCCACAGTCCTTATCCATCAGTCAAATGAATCCTCGGCAGACTGTCGGGGTTGAACCTCCTGATGAGTCGGTGAAAGTCCGACGAAACAGTCTGGCACAGTCATGCTTTTTTTTTAGGGTACAGCGAATATGACAACACACACACAACAGCAACGGCAATGGTGGTGGTGGTGGTGGTGGTCGCCGTGATGATGAAGAATCATCAAATTTACAGTGATTCCAACTAGAAGCACCAAACAGACTTGAGTTCGCAGGATTCTCTCTCTCTCTCTCTCTCTCTCTCTCTCTCACACACACACACACACACACACACACACACGCACACACACACACACACACACACAAAAAAAAAAAAAAAAAAAAAAAAAAAAAAACAGAGGGAGGGTGCTGGTAGCCAGTGACGGAAGCCTGGGGAAGAAGAGAAAGCCTGATCTCAAGAGTTCCATGTTGCATGTATGGTTTGGAGACACTCCCCCGTCACAAGCCTTGGCCCCACGGTCCAGTGCACCACTGCTATAAGTATAGAGAAGGGGAGAGAGAGAGAGGGAGGAAGGCTAGTTTACAAACTGTCTCATTCACAGATGCAGCTACGTCCGTCAACTTGCATCTCACATTCTGCGTATTACTCTGGAGAAGCAAACATGGTTTAAAAAAAAGACTCAATCACACGTGTGAACTGCCCTGAGCAAATCATGGCTAGCGTCAAGAATAAGGGTCAGTTGTGTGAAGACCCCACTGAAGCATGAAGGCATGAGGGGTGATCAGATCATGCGGTAATGGCATCAACTTGCTGAACCACCAGTAGTACCTAGGGTTCTGCTCGGGGCCATCAGCAGGCTGCACTTCAAACCACCATTACATTTTCAAGCTATTTTGTTCCGGTGGGGCCATCAACGCGCCACGTCCTTCAGATCCGCCTACCACACGGAATAGGCTGGCAGCCGCAGGCAAACAGATTTCATTTTGCACCTCCGCTACTTCGACAGAATTGGCTCATGGCAGAAATTGGCGTGCAAACAAACAGGCTCAGATGTGCTGGTGATCTAAAGCACCATTACATCCAAGGCTGCCAAATAAGCAAATGAACCAACGAGGGCGCTATCTTTTCCTTTGCGGCTGGCGGTCTCAGCCTTCCTTTCCCCCCCCCCCCCCCCCCCTCTTTTTTTTTTGTTTGTGTGTGTAACGGCAGCGGGGGGGAGGGGGGGGTGGGGGGAAGTGCAAGCCATTTTGGTCCGGTAGCCCTGAGAGTTGCAGCTAACATATTTTCCCAGGTATTTCATTTTGCCTGGGGCACGAACTGGTGGTTTAACGGTAACCTGACACTCCCTCAGCGGGCCCAAAAATGATCACCAGGTATCCAAGGTGGCGGTGAGGATTTGAAACCCTGCAGCAGCTGCTAAGTCCCACTAAAGAACCTCTTCATCTCAGGTTCGGTCTTGCCTTCTCTACAGACGATCACTGGGCCCACCACCGAACCTGCAGGTTCGACCTACATTCCACCGAGCCCACCGCCAAACAAACCTGCAGGCTCGGCAGGCAGCTGGAAACAGAAAAGAAGTGCTTTTCAAGCCTGGCAGACTGACAAAGAGACGTAAGTCATTCGAGAACGCACCAGAGTTGCAGTTACAGAGTTGCACTTAGAAGAAGTCATGGGTTCAAATCCGTTCGGCCCGATGTACACCCTTGTGCATGCCTTCCATTGCTGGTGGCCCGGAGATGGCCACTGCCACCCATGCGCCAGCATCATCGGGACCTTAGCCACATTGATGTTGTTTATTAAACACCACTAATGTGTGCAGGGGGCAGGCATAGGCAGTCCCTTGTGCCAGTGAGATCCTTGAGCTACAGGCCTGTGTCCACGTCATTCTGTAGGTGATGAACCCACACAGGTGCAATTACCATTGCCACCCTATGATATGCCTTATCTTCGTCATGACACATTGTAGAATCACACTGTCAGGACAGTGTGAGAGGGGGCGGTAGGGGGGAAGGTGGTCTTGGTATATCGCAAATCTTATCTTAATTATCTACCTTAACCCTGTACCTACGGTGCTCTGATCTTATGTGTCTATACCTTAACCACATACTTACCACATGCGCACAAGCAGACAAGGGAGAGCAACAGAGAGAGAGAGAGAGAGAGAGAGAGAGAGAGAGAGAGAGAGAGAGAGAGAGAGAGAGGAGCAAAAAGAAAAAAAGAAAAAGAAGCAGTGGGGCAGATTGAAAATTGCATCGTCATAGATTTCTCTTGCAACCTCAGAAACAGATGCTGGGACATCCAAAAGTCAACAAGGAAGGTATGCAGATGCTGGGATTAGGGGTCAGGCTCCACTGTCATCTGATGCCAACGGCTATGCAGATGAACACCACCGCTCTTTCACACTTTTTTTTCCCCCCCCCATCATTCTTTAGGCTACCCAGATGGGTGTACAGTAGAAAACGGTAAGGCGAAAATGTGAGCTGAAATAGGCTTGTCAGGAGTGCACCATGTATTCGGTTCCAATTGCAACGGTACCCGATGGAGCCCAGGAGTCAGATGGGGGTGAGGGTCCATCTAACGTGGAGCCCATCTGATGGGGCCCAGGTCTAATCTGAATACTGGCCAGGAGTAGATGGGGCCCAGGACTCAGATGGGCCCAATCCCCCTAAGCCAAGAAAGGGTCCAAAACTCGCATCAGTTGGCTCCAGGTCCAATCTGAGTTGCACGAAGTGGTCTAAAACTCACATCAGCCATCATAAAATCAGTGCTGCCCGGTAAAGAGTGGGCAGAGAGGGAGAAGAGGACAACATCGAGGGGCAGTGACAGACTTTTTCATCAGAGTTTCACCGACTCATCAGGAGGCTGAACCCTATATATACTATTGTCATCATAGAGAACTGCCCTGTGAACCGTAGGCAGAAAGGGAGAAAATCACACGGGATGTGTGACCGTAGGCTGAACCCTATATATACTATTGTCATCATACAGAACTGCCCTGTGAACCGTGGGCAGAAAGGGAGAAAATCACAAGAAACGGGGAAAGCGATGTGTGACAGACTGTTTCGTCGGAGTTTCAACAACTCATCAGGAGGATGAATATATGGATTCGCTATGACGACCGGACTCGTCAGGAGGCTGAACAGATGTATTCTCTATGACGAGATAAGTACACGTATATACGTATACAGTCGGGGTAAGGATGGATAATCACTTACAGTGTAATCAGTTAGGGGATTCTGCAGACTTTTTGAGGGTTCAGCCTCCTGATGAGTAGGTAGGTGAAACTCCGACGAAACAGTTTGTCACAGCCCCTCGTTTGTTGTCCTTATAAATAGTAATATGAGGTGATAATGGTCAATTGATTTTCATGTCAATTTACTCTGATTTTGACTCAAGGTGACAGGTTTCGAACCTATTACCCTCTGTACCCAAAACAGATCCGCTACCAGACTGCGCTACACCTTGTTATGTTCAATTGGTAATCTTCTCCCTCTCTGCCTACGGTTTACCGGGCAGCTCTGTTTGACTATATATACCACGACTTCGCTAGCACCCTGCTACGGTTTTCTCCGGTCAGGTCGAGCGGCAGTGGTCGGGGCCATCACTACGCGGCCGTGCTGTGCCTCTAGTGCCAGTGGCGTGTCTGGAGTGCATTTTTTGGCTGTGACAGACCTTTCTTTGTTTCGTGGGTGTTTTGCTTGCTTGTTGCTTGTGATGGGGTGTGAACCAACAGTCTGTAGAGTTTTCCATCTGGTGTGGGTGAGTTATATAGTCTGCTTTGATTTTCGTCACAGGTACCTTGAGGGCAGTGGGTTTTTTGGGTACCATATTTCGATCTGCCTCAACTTCGATTAGGAATTCCTTGTAAGTCTTTCACTCCTCGAATACAATGGTATTTCTTTAACACCAGGCAAATCTTTTTTTTTTTTTTTTTTTTTTTTGATAAATCAAGGCTCCATTCTATTTGTGGGGAGCAGCACATGCTGGGAACCACCAGGCAAATCTTTGACTCTACCTCCTCGAACCATAACAATAAGAGTGCTCTTGTAAATTATGGCCTTCTCCCGGAATGTATACAATAACCTCATTTCGATTGGTTAATCTGACTTCAGCTATTTGCGCATGATTCTCTGTTTTCCCCTTTCAGATAGCGTAGAGCACCTAATACAGTATATTATTGTATCCTGCCCAGCTGGACTTGAACTCATGATCTGTTTACCTAACATTTACCAACATTCCCATATGTGGAACCATTCAGCCAGCACCTACCGGCAGGTCAGTACTCGTGTCATATGGCTCTGAATTAACAAGACACCCCATCCCAGCCCACGTGGCTGAGCGGTACACACCTGTAAGGCTGTAACTGTTGATGTCAACATTGTCAGTTCGAAAGCTGATGGAATCAAGTGGATACAACACAGGGACCGGGGCCAGACCCTTTCAAAATTTTGAAAAAGGGCCAGACCCTTGAATCTGGTCAACATGCGTCGATAAGTCCATGCCATCCATGAACGTATCGACGGCTTCGAGCTTCTGCGCTGCTGCGCCGCAGCAGCAATCTCTTCTGGGGTATACCCGCATTGGGCCTTTTTTTAACAAACGTGGGCGCTAACTAACTGAATCTGGTCGCAATTGCGGCCAGATACGTCCAACAAAGTTCCTAGTCTGAAAACGATCCCCTTAGGCCTCAAACTCGCTAGGATCATGACGAGCATGCTTCACAACAGAAGCACCTGTCAAGCCATACTCACACTAGGACTTTTTCACATTTTCTTCTGGACGTAATTGTGGTCAGATACATCCAGGTGCGTCTGTAAATGGGGTCAGATACATGTCAGATAGTGCTACCGGTAGTGTGAGTACGCCCTCAGACGCACATGTAAGGAACTTCTTGCCTTTTTCTTTTTTTTTTCGGTACACCCGTGATCTCCTGCCGCCTTCATTCAGAACCCTTGTCACCGCTCCTCGTCTTTTTTTTCCTTTCCTGTCCCCATCGCTCAGAACTAGCGCCCCCCTCAGGATCCCTATCCTTCCTTCCTCTCTTTTTTTTTCCCTTCTCCCATCCAGTCCCTGCTTTCCTAGAAGTCGAACCCATCATCAGAAATTGGCTATGGAACGCAATCTGACTGGAATTCATCACCCCCACACCCCACAGCTGCTGTGGCCTCGTTATCTGCTTGCTTCTCTTTCCTTCCATTCTTCTTATCCACATTTCACACGTCTCTCTCTCTCTCTCTCTCCACGCAGGCACGCCGCCTGCACAGCACGTCCAGTAAATCGCTGGCGCATTGCGGGGATGTCCGCACCCAAGGTTAAATCCGCTGGGAAATTGACGTGATAGGTAGTACGGTCTTCTCCTCTTAACTAGTTTTATTATTATTATTATTATTATTATTATTATTATTATTTTATTACTACTATTGTACTATTATTATGTCTTATTATTATATTATTATTTTATTATTTTATTACCATTATAATTATATTATTATCTAGGCTACCAGAGTGGCCCGGGTCCACTTGCCCGGCCGGGCCAAACAGATTTTTCAAAATTAAAAATATATATATATAATTTTAAATTTGGTAAGGAATTTCGATGTGACCCTGAGGCAAAAGTTGTTCAGTTTATTTTTCTGCATAACATCGTTTCTTTTTGGATTTTTGTTTTTTTTTCTGGCTGGGACCTTCCCTGGTCCTTCAGTTTATTTTTCTGCATAACATAGTTTCTTTTTGGATTTTTCGGATTTTTGTTTTTGTTTTTTTTTCTGGATGGGACCTTCCCTGGTCCTTGCACGGCCGGGCCGCCCGGGAAAATAGGATGACCCGGGCGTTCCGGCTGGTAGCCTAGATTATTATTGATATTATTATTAGCTTACAGTGATAACTCACTTTCGAGGTTACTCGCGAAGCAACTTTTCAGCGCATTATTAGTAGTAGTAGTATTAGAATATTAGTTTTTCTCATTTATTATCTGATTATTATTATTTTATGTTTATTATATTATTCTATTAAAAAAAATAAAACACAACTTACCCTCCGTTTTTTATCCATGCTACACTGCTAATGCATCGTCATCGCCACGGCTGCCCGGATAGCGTGCGTAATAAACGGCACCGTCATTCGCATGATTAATCGGTCGTCGTTCGAGTATACTTCGCATGCCAGTCGTTTCCATGTCAGTTTGTGTTTCTCACTTTTTCGTTTACCTGTAGTTGATTTTCTTTTTCCCCGCATTCTTGTATTTGCATTGTTTTCCACTAGCTTTCCGCTTGTTTTCCACTTGCTTTCCGCTTGCTTTCCGCGTGCTTTCCGCTTGTTTTCCGCTTGGTTCCTCATATTCGAACCGTTCTTTTTTTTTTTTCTTATTACGTAATATTCGAATCGTTCTTTACTTTCCCGTGTTCTTGTTCTTCTATTTTCTTTTCCGCCTCGGCTATGAATATCATATACACAATCGCAATAAAAAAAGAAAAAAAAATCGCAAAAACAAATAGCACGGGCCCAGGGGGGTCAAGAATTCGACGCGTAAATAGCCGGGGCTCGTGCGCATTCAAGGAGGGGGAAGGATCTTATACGGCCGAGGGGACTCGACGGAGAAGGTTTCGCAAAACGCGGACGGACGTAAGAACAAGGCAGCTATGGAAGGACATATTTGCAATTGTACAAGAATTAATCGACATGGATTTATTTATATTTATTTAAGGGCAACGGACTTGAGACAGCATCATTGAACTGAAACCAGCCCTGCGTAGGTAATTCAGGATTATTTTATTCTGTTAATCTTATTGCCTCTGGATTCGAACTCCGGTCTGTATTTCAACACTTCATCGGGTGCACCAACTGAGCTTCGGGGCATAAGAAAAAAATTGAACGATAACTCGAGATAGGGCAAGCTGACAGTCAATCCTCCATTGCAGTGGAGCAATCAATGCTGTTCAGAGGTCCTTCGGCCTGACGGAAGGAAGCGTGTGTGAGTGTTTCTTGATGTAATGTACTTTCGACTTGCCGGTGGAATAGGAACCGGACTGACGCTCC